AAATTACAGTCCGCGCACTTAACCACTACACCAAACTAGCTCTCTTTCTTAGCCTGGCCTACTCAGGAATATTTCTGAACAGGAGCTGGAAGCAAAAGCCCTGTCATTATTAGCCCACCTTTCTTCCAGGGAGCTGAAGGTATAGGGTTGCTAGCTCCAGGGAAATTCCTAGAGGATTTGGAGGGTGGAGTCTGGGGAGGGTGAGGTTTGGGGAGGGGAGGGACTTCAGTGGGGTATGATGCCACAGCATCCACCTTCCAAAGCAGCCATTTTCACCCGGGAACTATTGCCTGGAGATCAGTTGTAATCAATGTTTCCTCTAAGCTGTGAAGTCTTGTGAGCAAAAATTCTACTTTGTGAGCTACTGGAGTTAAACTTAAGAGCGAACGATTTGGCTACTACTGCATAAATTAGTTTGCTCTGGAGCCATCCTTCCTGAGCTGAGACAAAAATGTGTGAGCTGGAGGCTAAAAAACTGTGAGCTAGCTCACAGTAATTCAGTTTAGAAGGAACGCTGGTTGTAATCCCAGGAGGCTGGCAATGCTATGAAGGTGGCACATACAGTCTTCCTCACCTGTGTTTTATGCTCACAACCAGGGCTATTTTTAGGGCAGGAACGCACAGGGACGGAGTTCCAGCTGGCTTCCAAGTTGGCCACGCCCAGCAGGGGCTCATTAGCATAATAGGCCCCACCCAACACCAGAATCTCGTTAGGATTGGCTACATTAGGGGTGTGTGGCCTAACATGCAAAGGAGTTCCTGCTACAAAAAGGCCCTGGGTTTTGACAACAAACAAGGTAAACAGAATAAGAAGCAAAAGGTGGGTGTGGCTGTATGAGCACACTTCTGGTAACATGGGGTGTGGCCTAATATGCTAATGAGTTCCTGCTGTTGGGTGGGGCCTATTATGCTAATGAGGTCCTGATGGGGTATTTCTACAAAAAAAGCCCTGCTCACAACAGTCCTTTGAGGTAGGTTAGGCTGAGAGGGAATAACTGGCCAAAGGACCTAAACCTGGATGTCCCCCATCCTGGGAGACACTCTGCTTACTGCCCCTCACTGAAAACTGATTGGCTGGCCTGGAGAAAGCACTTCAAAGCCCACAATATCTAGAAACACAGCTGCAGGAACAGCCAAGTAGGCCACAGTCCAGTCCCACGGGAGCCACAGATGCCAACAAGTTTAGCTTTTGGGGGGGGGGGAATTTAAATGATCGAATAATTGCCGTGACACCGAGGACTCTGACCTGCCCCAGACTGTAGCCTGATTCACTCATGTGCTCACTCACGTGGGTGGGTGGAATGGAAATCTATACATCATCATCACCATAGACCTTTATTGGCATGGCAGTCTATACATGTATGGCCACAGGAGTGACTTATTCTTTTTTTTTTTTTACAAATTTATTTATGATTTTTCATTACAAAAAGGAATCACAATATGATTTTCCATTACAAAAAAGAATAATATTTATAATTTTCATTATAAAAACACACATACACAAAAAAGAATATATAACCCCGAATATATAACCCCGGTTATATATATATAACCCCAAATAACAGATATTATGGGCATTGAATTGCAGCTAGTACCAGAAATCTATTTACTCAATATAATACCAGATGGATATAGGCATGATGAAATATGTATTTTGTCATATATCCTTACTGCAGCCAGGATATTGGTTGCCAAATGTCGGAAACCTGAAAACCTACCTGTTAGAGAGGAGTTGATTATAAAAATCTGTGATGTGGCAGAAATGGACAAGTTGAACATGATTCTTTCAGGTAAAGAGGATAAGGCTTTTCAAAAGAGATGGTTTAGAGTTAATAAATGGTTGGGGGAAAATATGTAACTCCATAATTGTATCTCATATACAAAATATTGCCACAGGAGTGACTTCTGTCAGTGCTTCAGCCGTCTTAACCACTGTTCTCAGCAGCTGGCACGGTTGTCATTGGATTCTTTTTCAAACAACCCATCTCTCTCTGTGAATCAAGCCAATGTTTCCCTTTTGCCCCTGCCACCCCTGTCGGCGCCCTCCATTCCACATCAGCCCACCACCTGTGAGCCAACTTCACTGCTTCTTTCCCTCCCGTCCCTGCTCTGTCTGGCCTGCAGCTTCCTCTGCTTGAAAGAGGCACCACCCTTGTCTATCCATCAGGCCATTTCCTCTTCCCCTGCTGCAGGACCCGGCTCTTGAACAAAATATTTCCTGAACAACCCTGCATTTGCACAGCATCCTGACTCCCCCCTACCCCATTGTCATGTCTGGCCCAGATATATATATATCCCTCCCCTGTAGATCTTCGAATGCGTCTTTGCAACATGAAGACTGGCAACTTGCTTAGGAAAAAGAGAGCTGAGAGTCTCTGGACCCTGACCTCTAAACTAGATTCCCAGATCCTCCCTCTGCTGTGCAGTTCCAGCCAAATGC